ACTGCAAGGGGAGGGCGCCGAGCATGACGTCCATGACTGCCATCTCCGCAAGCACACGTCTCGGATTCGAGGGATTGCCGCCTGCGCCGGATTTTGAGGCGCTGGAAGATGCGGTGGGGCGGAAATGGGTGCCACATCCTCCGCCGCCATCGTGGACGCCCGTCGTTGACGACTTCTATGGCAAAGAAGCCGAAGGCCGTGTCGCTTCATATATCGAGCTCTCCCGCCCGATCGCGAGGATCGAGGGACTACTGCCTGCGCCGCAGTGGATGGACATGACTGAGCTCGGAGGATTCACCGTCACTTATGCGGACGGCGAGCGGCTGGTTTATGGTGCGACGACGAAGCATTGGCCCAAAGATACGACGGAAGCGCAGAGGCTAGAAGATATGCCAAAGCTAGAGGATATGGCCACCAGCTTCCCACCTCACAAGGATTGGGGGGAAGTTGCGCATGTGCAGTCGGACGAAGAGGCCTTGGCGCAAGCAACTACCTGGGACTTGGGGGAGACCGGAGAACGCGTGGTCGCGGTCAGTGTTTGGGCGGCACAACTCCTGAACGGCATTCAATTCCATTCAGCGAGTGGAAAGAGTAGCCCACGATGGGGAAAATGTGGCAACGATGTGGCTGGGAAAATAGAGCTGGGTGGGAAGGACAATGTGATGGGATTGAAGGTGGTGCTGGGAAGAAGCAGGCAAGGTTTGCACGCGGCGAGTGTGAGACCGCTTGCAGTGCAGCCATTGTGTGAACGGGGGTGATATACTTCATCCTGTACCGCAGCACGATAGCACGCAGGCCTCCCAGCTCAAGTTAGAGTTCGACTGTGTCATCGTCTCCTACCAAAGTCAAGATAGATGAGGAATAAAGCCGCAGAAGACGACGTGAGGGACGCGACGCGACGGGGAGGACGTATCAAGCTGTGACGAGTCATGAACCTTGGCAACGTTCGGTTTTGGTGTATTTCGTATCCCTTGAGAATACGAAGATAACGATAAAAGCAATGATGACCATAATTGCTGTAACCTCCTTGTGTCAGCTGCCTCCAATGTGGCCGTGAAGAGTTCATGCTCATTGACTAAATGACGCATAGACCGCAGTCCCAAGTTATGCGCAAACAATCCGTCCTGCTCAACTCATTCTTTTTGAATTAGCGCGCGGGAACCCTAGACTCGTTCAATGGGGCTTCGAACGGGGAAAAGATCAATACTCAGTACTTGCTACTTGACTGAACCTATCAAGCCTCGCTATGGCGACATCATGCTCGAGATCTGCTCTCTCGTCACCGGCATGGTCGACGCCGTAAGCTTCAACAACTGGGGCACTTTCGTAGGCATGCAGACCGGTAAGAAACTTTCCACATAAGTGCGATATACCCTCCGGCTAAGTCCCTCTAGGCAACACCGTTCTCTTGGGCCTCTCCACAGCAACTCTCCCCGCCTCGCAGCCTCACGCCGCCGTCACAACGATCGTGTCAATCGGCAGCTTCATTGTCGGCGCCTATCTTACCTTCCTCGTCGCCCGCCAATTCACGCCTCTCCGCCGCCTCACGCTCTTGCAGTCATTCCTCGCGCAAACCCTGCTCATCGTACTCGCCGCGTTGCTTGCGGTTACCGGCATCACACCCCAGGATCACGGCGGCGTGGGTGATACGTTGGGTGACATTTCCATCGTTGTGGCTATCCCGCCGCTGGCATTTCAGAGCGGGATGCAGATTGCGACGAGTAGACTGCTAGGTCTCAACGAGTTGCCTACCTGCGTGTTGACAAGTAGTTATGCAGATATTGCGGGAGATGCGAAGCTCTTCACAGGCCTAGACAACCCGAAAAGGAACAGGAGGATAGCCTCTGCGGTGTTGCTGTTAATAGGAGCTATTGCGAGCGGGTGGATTATGAGGAGTGGAGTCGGACTGCATGTAGTGCTGTGGATTGCGGCAGGGCTGAAGATGATGCTCGTGCTGGGTGTGTGGGTGATGATGGAGGCTGTCGAGACAGGGGAGAGTGGGCATGGACAATTTGATCAGGGCCAGGCGAGGACGTAATATTAGATACTATGACGTATGAGCTTCGGCAATTAGACTTTAGTAAGGACTCTTTGTCGTATTGCATCGACGAAGATGGGGTGCATATGTTGGCAAAATTCTGCTAACAATAGCATCACTGTTAGAAATGCAAACGGCAGTCAGCCATTAGCAATGCTGGGAAGGACTTCAAGTTAAGGGAGAGCTTGTTGTCGTTGTTTCGTTCATTGAGAGTGTTTCTTCGGCTGCGGCACATAACTCGCTCCGAATTTCTCAGACTCTTCATGATAAGTCGTCCACATGCATGTCTGTCGTCCACCAACAACAGTCCCCTATTTCCACTGTCCAGCATCCTTGACACCCTTCCCAGTCTTCGCAGCCCCATCCTCAACGCCATCAGTAGCACTCTGAATGCCCTTGCCCACGCTCTCTCCTGCACCGCCAGTAGCTCCCGTCACGGTCTCATTCACGCCGCGGCCCTGCAACATTTTCAGCATACGTAACCTTAGAGGAAGAACGACATGAAAGTGACAGAACGTACGGTAGCACCAACGATACCACCGACAGTGTTTGTCAGCCCAGAGGCGGCTCCACCGAGGGCACCAGTGACGGACTTTGCGGCACCTGTATCGTATCAGAATGCTGCCGTTGAATGTGTTGTTTAAAGGAACATACCAGTCGCGCCCTGATCAGTGTTATCCTTTCCGATAGGCATGTTGGTGATTTTCTAGTATACTCGTTACAGGTATGAAAGCAGTCTCTCACAGTAGATAGGGAGGTTGTATGTTTGGCGGTCGATATCGATATGTTATATACTCTTGTTTACTTGTTTATGTACATAAAGCTATCCTATTTCTGACGTCATACAAAAGCTTTCTATCAATTCGAAAGCCACGCCAGCACGCCGAAGCCACGGTCCAGTCTCTCAGCGAATGCAGGGTATACGATCCAGAGCGTGTCATGCCACTGGTACATCCTAGATCAACACGTCCGGATGATCAAGCTGGTGCATAGCGGGACAAAAAAGCGCGAAGCCGTCCATCCCATGCGGCAGCGGCAGCGGCAGCGGCAGCGTCAGAGGATAGAACGCAATGAGCGGTGATAGGTGAACAAGGAAAAGCAAAAGAAGATGCCCACTATCAGAATCGAACTGATGATCTTCTCATTGCGCTGTGGTTATACGAGTGAGACGCTTTACCACTGAGCCAAGCGGGCTGAATATCTTGGGAGTGCATCCGGAAATCGGACGAACTTCGGGAGTTGGCTATGCTTCCATCTTATAATGAGTTGATCGTTGGCTATCGCTTGGAGCAAGTGACGCCCATCCACCAACGTGAAAGGAGAAATGGAAACGAGAATGCTGGGTTGACGACAAGAGCACAATTCAGTTCGGATCTTTAGTTCGTTTCGTAAATTGAATGTTATGTCATTTCGTATCGTTCACTATGATCCAACGGCTACCCTGCCTGGCTTTAATGCCGCTTTTGCAACTCCGTATCCGATTCATTTTTCTACGCCTCCCAAAACCCAAACTCCTCAGTTATGTAGAAAGTAACTACTCCATGCCCAACAACAGTTCGCACGCCCTCTCCGCCGCAATCATAATGCCCATCTGCGGATTGACCGTCAAAGGCGCTACAATGCTGCCGTCAATAACATTCAAATTCTTCATCCCAATCACGGTCGTGTTGACATCCACACAGCTTCCGAACCTACAACTGCCACTCCAATGGTTCACCATGCCGACCGCATACGCCGATGGCGTCGTGATGTACGTCTCAATCTCCTCGATAGTCGCATTCCGTGGGATGGCGAGTGGTGTGAGATCAGAGGGTAACGCATCGAAGATGCCGCGGATAAAGGCTACGATGTCTTGAGCATCTCGCTCGTTACTGTAGTAAACATCGGAAGACGGACCCGGGAGATGCTTTTCCGAATCGAGGACGACGCGGCCTTTTGACTTGAGGCCCGAGATCTCGTAGACATTCAGGGTGATGGTGCTATTGTTGGTGTAATCACTGAAGCCTGAGCTGTCGATGGTACCTTGGAAGCCGACGACGTCGCTGCTGTTGTAGGCTTTGTTGTCCCAGAACGCGCTGGTTTCGGACGCGAACGAGTACGGTCCGGAGCGGCTGTTGAGAAAGGCGGACTCATCTGAAGAGGGTGGGCTGGCATAGCTGTAGACGTAGGAGTGAAGATCAGGTCTAGATAGCTCAATGAAGATGTTCGGATTGTCGAAAAGCTCATCGCCGACAGCAGAGTTGTTGATCCACTGTGACCGCGGAAGATCCAATATCCCAGTGCTGCTCAAGTTCTGCAGAATAGCCGGCTCGCCGAAGCTGGAGTACATGAGGATCTGAGGACTTTGAAGCGCTCCACCACTGAGAATCACGCGACCTCCATCTGAAAGTGGGATTATCCGCTCGGTGCCATTGACCGTTGCAAGGACGCCGGTCGCTTCATCCCCGTTTCGAGTGACGTGCTTGACCCTGGTATGCATCTGCAGGCGGAAATTGTCACGGGAAAGAGCTGTCTGGAGATAGGTGGTGACAGGACCGCCCCTCT